GTTCATCTCTATTCACTTCTCTCTCAGTTTCTCTCACCCACGATTTTTTTTTTTGTTCCCATTCACCACCCATTCTTCTTGGCATCTTCCCCTGAAGCGTCTCACCCCTCAATGGCTCGACTCCCTTTCTCTGGCTTTTCCCCTTCTTTTCCAAAGGCCCAGGCATCTCTCCATGAAGACAGTAGGAAGCGGTCATCCATACCTCCTGCTCTCTGGCTGAGAGATCAGTTGTGCGTGACATGGGACAGTGTGGGCTAGCCAGGATGTGAGGTTCCCCATGGCTGAAAGAGCTGCCAGGGGTTAGATCATCCTGGCTTGGACTCCATGTGACAGAGAGCAGGACAAAGTTTATGCTCCTGTGCCCAAGGGGAGTGGAGAGGGCATACAGTCATACACAGGTCAGCTCTTGGGCAAATGTTAAATTCCACACCCCAAACCAATCAGGACAGAAGTTCTCATTCCCAGAGCTAGGGTCAGAGTCTGGGATCTGGCAGCCCTAATAAACCATGTTCACCCACCTGTACTTGATGGTCTAGATAAAGACACTTACTAGGGAAAAGCCCAGAAAAGAAGATATATTCAATGTGACTGCATAGGGAAGAGCAAAGAGGTCTAGTAACATCCCCCACGACTCATCGAGTTCATTTTTCAGGTCCTAACATGAGTTTTATATTGACACAAAAGGCCGGATGTGTGTATAACTAACCAATCTCCATTGACGTATGGTCCTCCCCATCACCACTTTTTCAACTCCAGTCTCTTCTGCCAAAAGTCTGCCAAACTGTAAATGTCCCTCAGCCAGCCTTCAGCCTTTTCCTTCTCCCAGCAGGAGGTTCCTGGGGAATTCCACTTCCTTGCGGGTCAATTGTCTTAATTGGCTGACAGCCAAAGAGAGAAGCACATTTGTATGTAGAATATCTTCATTCCTACCTGGGCCATTCTATTCCAGGACTTGAATCCACCTGACCTGAGTCCACTGGAGGATGTATTGTCCGCTTATCACGGGACCCTACTTCCAGAGCCGGTCATTCAATAGCTATGGGACAGGGGCAGGGGACTGACCACATTGATTTGTTTAGGACCAAGGGTTCCTAAGACACATAACTTTCAACACTGGAGCCAGGAAAGCCCCTAGAGGGATAGAGAGTTGGGCACCCTATGGAATTAGAAATTTTGCATTTTTATCAAGATCCCAGGTGAGGCAGCTGCTGCAGGTCCTCTGACTATACTTTGAGAGGAACTACTTAAGTATTCCTAGGTAGCTTCAGAGGCCAAGAGCTGAGGATTGTGGCCTTGGAGTCTTCCTCAGATGACAGGCTCCGAGCAGGGCAAGAGTCAAGCCTCCAAGTGCCTTCGGCCAGGAAGTTGTGTGTGTCCTCAGGGAAAGACAGCAGTAGGGTTGGGGGCTGATGGAAGAGGAGGACTTGTGGCTAAGATGGGCTCAGGAGTGGGAGGCCATCAGAGCCAATACTGTATGTGGGGGTATGCCCTAGTGGATATTGTCTGGGGCTCCTCACTATGGATTAGGCCAGGGTCTTAGGAACAAGGGAAGAAGAGTAAAGAAGAAAAAGGTTTCTGAGGACTGGGCTAGTGCTGAAGCAATTGGTTTGGGAAAAGAGCTAGGAAGGAAAGCAGATCAGATGCAGTACTTAAGCTGTGAACGTGGGAACAACGTGCTGGCTATATCTACTTATTTTTCTTTGCTGATTTAGGGAGTTTGGGGACAGCATGCTGTAGGCCACGATGAACAGCAGGGGCAGGGACAGAATGGATCCTCCTTACCCCTAGAAGTTATCAACTTCAAATGCTGAAGAAACTTCCAGTGTCTGGACCCTGGGTGGGCTGTGGCCAGCTATTACTACTGGTTGAATTAAAGTGAATACAAATACAAGAGTTTAGGGCTGTAAAGCCAGAGTCAGGTGATGTCTTTCTGGAGGCTCAGCAGCTGCACCTGAATCTACTAATATTTTAATTATAACCTATGACCCCCACAGTCTCTCAGTTAGTGCCCCGTCAGCCACTCAGGCCGTGACCTGGTGGAGCTTTCAGTCCCACGGTTCTCAGCTCTGCCACGGCCACCATATGTAGGTTTAAGTTAAGTCTCTATCATTCTATTTATCAATAAGACACAGGAGTCAAAGGTTGGGGTAAAAACCTGCTAGCTCAGAGAGGCTGAGTAGCAACTAGCTGACCTTGCTTTTTGGCCAGAGACACCTTAAAAGACACACCTCCTCCCTCGTCCCAGAACCAAGAAGAAGCTCAAACTCCAGTCCTCACCCTTTCCTTCCTGTGTGTCTTCTCTAACCTCATTGCTGCCTTCTCTATGGCCAATTCCAGGCGGCCAGTCACCGGTTCTATCCCCGATTCAAGATATAACTATATTGGGCAGCCTTGGGAGCGTCAGTGTGTGATAAATATATCCCGCAGCAGACAGGTACCACCACGGGAATCCATTTATTCAGCGCTCGTATATGCCTAGAGAGCTTTCTCACAGAGCAAACTTGGACATCTTAGACCCATAGCCAGATACTGGGATTCTGAGCTTCCTATCCCGGTGTCTCCGACAAAGGCAGTTTGGCTATCACCCTTGTTTTTCTGGCTGGCCTCTATCCTGGTGTCCCTATCCTGCCAGGAAAGTTGTGGGAGTCTTGGAGCAGACTCTGCAGCACATGAACAGATTCAGCTATCTGCTAGTTGGCACTTACTGCTTCGTTTCTCTGCCAGACGATCACTATGTCTCCTGAACCGATACAACCCAAGTGTGTGCTGGATGAGGACCCAGTAGTGTCCTCAAAGAATAAACACGGATCCTTGATGCGGGAGGAAGCAGAGCAAGCTTAGAAAACGTCTGTTTCCCTAAACGCTCGTACTTGTCTTTCCAACTCTATTGCCGGGCTCTTTGGCCTTTTGTGCAGGTAACATTTCTGAACCCACCTCAACCGTAGCAGAGTTATCTTGCACACTAGCCACAGGGAGCTTCCCTATTCCCTCCTATGTAATTTCACTGAGAAATGAGTTGAATCTAGGGCACTTGGAGGTAACTGGTTGGGAGTGAACCATCTTTCCCTCTAGAATGTCCATCTCCCCCAGGCTTTGTGGGCTCTGTGAAGACGAACACCCACCAAGTCTCAAGAGGCAGGGGCTACTGATTTTAGGTTTGTGGAAAAACCCAGCTGCCCTCCCTAGGAACCTACTGTAGTGTGAGCAGTGATGAGAAGAGCCAAGATGGAGGCAGATCAGACCTAACGTGGCTTAACCCCTGCCCACCCCACCCCACTGCTGTCTCCTCCTCTCTCTTCAAGCCCTGGCCACAGGATGAGCACCTATGCATTCAGCATTCTGGCATCTGGGGTGACACAGAACCGTGCGGCGTCCTACTCATTCCCTGGGGCAAAGCACAGCCAGGTTGATGCCTGAGGTGTGACTCGCCTGCAGCATGAATCTGCCTCAGTTCCCCTGGCCTGAGCTGTTTGCTTGCTTGTTTCTGCCTGAGGTTCTGTGTGACTGGAAAGAAACCAGCCAGCCACTCCCTGAGGGAAGAGAGTACTTAACTGATGGTATAGAGACCTAGTCTGCAAACCTAGATCTGCCACTTTCAACAGCTTGAACTTGGGAGAACTGCCTCACATGTGGGTTTCGCTCTCTCCAAGATGACTAGGGTCTTGGGGATCTTTGCTCTTCCGTGTGTCATGGGCACTAATGGCAAGAGGAGGCACCCGAAGTTTTACTAGGAAGCCAGAGTCTTAGACACTCTCTACACTCACTGAATTTGAAGCTGCATTCAAGAAGATTCCCGACAGTTGAGGGAGCGTGGCTCCACAGTCTTCTTTAGCCTTTGTGCCTGAGCGTTTGTACCTTCAGGAGTCTCTGAGCTTTGTCCCTGCAGATGTGCAGCTGTGGACTGAGCTTTGCTGCAGAGGAATTTTCCCCAGTTTCCATAAGTCCTGTGGGCGCGTTTCCCCACCCGTTTCTCTCATTTCCAGGATCTCATTCTCTGTGAGTCAACATTTCCTTCTATGATAGTCTTTGAAGGGCTCAAGGGATAACCTTATCACAGATTGCTGGACACTTGCTGTCCAAGTCCATGGTCAGATGCTCCATCCTGTAAAAGCATCTGCTTACTGGGAAGATGATTCAAGTTAATGTCTTCTAAGTAGATCCAGGATGTGTGTATGCACCCAACACCCTTCATCTTGCCATTCTCAGACCAGGAACAAGGTGGGGGGGGGTCGACAAAAGAGTGCAAATAGCATCCGGGACCCTGCAGTGCGGGCTTTGTGTGAGGTGGGAATCTCAGCTCTGTCTTTCTTTGGTGCGAACATATGCTCTGGGCTGAGTGTGAGCCTAGTTTTTCCCCTGTGAGTGCAGAGGAGGCTGTTGCTGAGCGAGAGCCAGAGACTGCATTTGGTATCTAGTCAAAGAAACAGAGACTGGCCCCATTTCTGGAATTAAATAACAGCAGCAGCAGCAGCAGGAACAACAACAAACAAAACGCCCAACAGTGCCGGCCGCAGGAAGACAAGTTGCGAGGATTCCAGCATGGTGTCTTCCTAAGGACGTTGATTACTGGCCGTATCCCTTACTGTGATGACGGCAGGACCTCAAGTAAGAGCTGGTCCCTTCCGGCTATGAGGTCAGCTCCCCCACACAAATTCCCAACTGAGACAATTGATAGGGTCACGGATGAAGGAGGTCAAGGAAGGTTCTGGATAGAAGGACAATCTTTCTTTTACTGGGGTGTTCTTTCATCACATCTGTTCATGTTTCTGAGTCCATTCCTTGAACTGAGAAGCCAAGCTGCTAGCTGAGCCCAGAGATGCCAGAAGAATCCACAGGGCGGGGCTAAACCCTGTGCTCTGTGCGTTCCCTTCAGTGAGCATTGCGCTCAAAGTAGACTTCTGAGGTAAATACATAGGAAGGCAGTGCTCTAAAGCTGAGGGGACGGGACTGGTTGGCCGTCATGCAGACTCGGAATCAACAGCATGTCACATAACAACATACCCATGTATCCATGTCTTTATTTAGGCAACTGACCCATACCATAAACGATATGGGACAATTTCAAGGAAACATGTACATTTAGGGCATAATATAAATACAAAGTGCAAAATCAGACCATGGGAAACATAAATTAGTGAGCAGGTCAGCCCGGGTTGCCAAACAGAGCACTTCTCTCCATTTGGCCCAGGAATAGTGGTCTTCAGGAGATACTGGAGTCAGGCTGTATTGGATTACATGTAATTTAGGCTAGAAATACAGTCTTGTCCTTGAAGTCATGAACAACACACAGACATCACAGAAGAAGCCCAGAGCACTTGTCAAAATAAAATGCCTGAAGGTTTCAGTAGACCTGAAGCTCAATGTGAGCAGCCCCATGATCTGGCTCTTTCCTCCCCTAAGCGGGCCTGTGTGAGCGGTGCCAACATGTTCATCAGGACGGAGAGTCCCCGGCATGCACTTTAGCTGTGCATTCATGATTCAGTATCCATGTTGGACTCTGCTTCCGTGTGTCCCCTGAGTCATGGGATGAAGGGGAGCCAGGGGCTCAGAGTCCAGTGACCATCAAAGGGATATACATGGAAGCAGTCTTACATAATGAGTGTTCAAGGGTGACCTCAGCCGGGTGTCTGTGCTTGATTCCAATGGGCAGTTCTTTGAAAGAACTTTGACCAGAGGCTTTCTTGCTATCAAAGTCTGTAGCAGAATGGTTCCTATACAAGCCCCATGGGTGGAGCTTCATGGTTTCTCAGTCCCTCACAAATTTCTGAAATGGTGACAGCAGCCTCTGTGGGTTGGTGCAGGATGCTTGGGCTCCAGCTAGGGCCCTGGTAGTCACAGTCATTTGTGGCTGTCCTTGTGGGTGATGTGAACGCTTCATCATGGCAGCATCTGGGTTGCTCTTGGATACTATCAGCGGATGCACTGCAAAGAGAGCACATCTTAATTTACTTCTTCTGTGCTAGACAGGCCTGTGCTAGACAGACCTGTGCTGGACAAAAATAGACGAGATTCAACAGCCACACTTGGGTCTAAGTCCCAGTGCTGAGGTCTCTCAACACCCACCAAATTTTCTTGGGCTACTGAAAACAAATCAGAGACCTGGAATTTTTCCACCTACCAAATGGAGGTTTGAGTCCTTTATTCTGACTTGGAAGCAATGAAAATAAGTGATTGATTTAGCTGCTTACGTAAAAGATACTTATCAAATATTAACTCCTTCAAGACAAAGCTAACGCTATGTCTTGGGCTTTTGATTCTACTCCCTCCCGCATTTCCAGAGGTCCATCTTGGCGTAGTCCTCTCCACTCCCTTTCCTGTCCTCTGCTCACCGTCTCATTCAGTTTCCTATATCCATCTCCTCTAAGGGAATCCTACTCCACCAGGCCATTGTCCTGCCTCTTCAATCCCATCACCAAACACTTGGATGACCGCTCTGTACCCAGGCCTTGGGCGTTTCAACAATCACTGCAGAAGGAGCACTCATCGGGTCTTTCCCAGCTGTTTACTGATAAAGGCTCATTGCTGAGACTCGTCACCTTTCCTGAGGCTTCAACATTCTCAGTAGCTCTGAAACGTACCATGGCCAGTCCCCGGTGCTGGCTATCAGGTCTTTCTTTGTCCTCCTTGCCACCTTCATCGTGACGCTCCCTAATTATTACTGGGAACTTCACTTGGGCTACCCAAGCAGCATTTTCCATCCCATCCTCTAAGTGCAGGCATGGCCCATAGCTCTGACCTTGCCTCACATGGGAAGCATCAGTGACTTGGCTAGACACTTGGCATACTTTTTACAAAGGGCCAGGTGATGTGGGATTCTCCTCTGTATGCTGTAAATACCATTGGTTGATAAAGAAGCTACTTTGGGCCTATTGCAGCATAGAACAGGGCAAGGTGGGAATTCTAAGCAGATAAAAGAGGAAAGAAGGCAGAGTCAGGGAGATGTTATATAACTACCAAGGAGAAAGACACTCACAGGAGCCTGCTGGAATCTTGCTGGTAGGCCAGGACCTCATGGTGATGCACAGGTTAATAGAGATGGGTTAATTTAAGATATAAGAGCTAGCTAGTAATATGCCTAAGTTATTGACCCAGCAATGTCTTAATTAAAACAGTTTCTGTGTGATTATTTCAGATCTGGGCAACCAGAAACAAATAAGCAGCCTCTGCTTATAGCCAGGTAGTCAATAGTTTAGACTTTTTAGGCTATCTAGTCTCTGTTTAAACTATTCAACCCTTCTACTACTCCATAAAGCAGCCAGGGGTAATACCAGAAGTCAAAGAACTAGCTAAGAGCCAATGAAGCTTTACTTACAAAAGTAAGAGGCAGGCCAGATTTGGCCAGAGGCTATATCTGCTGATGCCCAGTCATGTAGAAAGAGTATGAACTAATGCAGATGCACAGGGTTTCATAGTTTAGCTCTATTGAATTGCTCAAGAAGGTTAGTCACTATGCACCTTGTCATCTTTATCTGTGAAGGGGACCAGTGGTGACCATGATGATGATAATGATAGTGATGATGATGATGATGACGGTGATAGTAATGAGGAGGAGGAGGAAGAAGAGGAGGAGATCCATGATACTTTTCTCAAAGCATAACTGCAGTTCTTTGGAGCCTGGCCTGGAGTCTTAGTGTTCCTTACACACGCCCATTCTCCCCCAGAGTCTGTAGTATTCCTTTCCCCCAAGCCTCTCCTCCCTTTACAATTTCATCAATAGTCATACCTTCAATCCTGCCTCCAGCTCCATGTCGGATCTCTTTTCTGAGCTAAGCAATACACATACTCAACCCCAGTTGAGCAGTTTTGCTCATATACTCCATTTGCTCAAACTCTCTATGTTTGAGAGAAAAATGCATCATTTTTGTCAAACATGGCTTCTCCTGACCTCTCTTGTCACAGGAATGGTGATACTTTCTGAGCCTTTGCTATAGCATTCCTCTGCAGCAGAGCAAGACCGTCCCTTCTGTTAGGATGTCCCCATCTCCTCCAACTCCCTTCCCAGAGTCATCGTTTCTCTCCAAACTGTTCTTACTTAACACTTGCACTTGGGGGGTGTTCCCCCCACCTTCTAACTCATTGCATTCACGCTGCTGAGTTACTCTTCCCAAAGAATGGGGGAAATGGCCATTCTCCAGTCTCTAATGACAACATCCCCACCCACATTAAGCATCAGAAGCCCCACTAAGTGTTAAGAGTCCTGGATGGACGACATGGAAGACCCCTAAGTCCAAAACATCTATTTAACCTACTCAGAGATCCCTAATTTTTTTAGTCTCTAAGTCTCTCTCCTTCCAGGCTAATCTTGCCTATGCCATCTCTAACTGCCAAATTTGTATCTGTTTCTCAGGGCCAGGGCAGACATCTGAATCTCCCTGTGGTTGGATGCATGACCCTTGTTTTCAGTTAGGGGCTCTGCGCTCACTCCAGCTTTCAGAGCCTGCACAAAGCTGGGCTTATCTCCCAGACTGCACTTTCCTGGGTACTTCTGGGAAGCAGTGTGCACTTGCAATATCTCTCCCCTCAGATTAGAAATCCCTGGGGAGACTTAAGAGGTGCTTGGCTGTTCACACAGTCCCAGTACCATGTCTGTTCCAGGCATGGGCTTGCTGAGCAATTGTGGGTGCCCTTTTACACAGCTAACCTTTGAGCCGGCATAGCAGCAGCTTGGGCAGAGGAGAGAAAGTATCTGCTTGAGACTGCAAATGCAGAGGAACAGGTTTCACTTTCCAGGGCTCAGGGCCTTGAGCATTGTATATCTTTGAGCCTTGATGGCCGAGTAGCAAGTGTGGGTGATAGTTCCAAGATGGATGTGAGTAAGTGTGATGGAAGCCATAGGATATTTGTGTGCAATGAGGAAGGGATGTATCTATATGTGTGTAGTATATTCATGTGTCAATATGGTGAAGGAGGCGATCTGGGAGCATGTATGTGTAGTGTATTGCTAGATGGTAGGATATGTGTTGGAAGTGAATGAAAAGGCAAGGGAGTGTGTGTGTGTGTGTGTATGTGTGTATTTGAGGTGGGAATTATCTTAGATCCTATTTGCAAATAGACAAGAGTCTTCACCTGACTTTTCCTGGGGACTTATCTTTATAGGATGTGCCCAAGAAATAAAAAAGAAAAAATAAGAAAAAATAAATAAATAAACAGAGAGCAAACAACCTGGAAACACAGTGGCCAAGAGATAAAAATCAAAGCAAGGAGGTCTCACTTTGTACACAGCTGGGCTATAAAAACAAGCCAGTCATTCCAGTCATTTTGAAACTTTCTGGGCAGCCTTTGAAGTTTAGCACCAACCACCCGCTGCCCCTGGAGAAGAGAGGCACACTGCAGGCTAAGGGCTGGCAGAGCAGCCAGGCCGTGACTCTGCCCTGCAGCAGACCAGGAATGTAATTTTTTAGCCCCGGGGCAGGGTGGATCAGGTCCTATCAACTTCATCTCACCAGCCTCCCAAAGATGTGGGAGGGGATGTGGCATTGGCCTCTGAACTCAGGAATCTGTTTCTTTCCCCCTGACCCCACTCTGAAAGCTGAGAACTGGCTAAACCAGTTACAACTTCCATAAATCATAAATAAAGTTGGTGATTATACTGAGGCCAAAGGTTGCAGAATGCAAGGGAATTGACAGCAATGATCTTGGAGAGATAGTGTTGGGCACCAGAGGAAATGTCCAAGGAAAACACTACTTATTGGTGTTTTTGTTTTTGTTTGTTTTTTGAGACAGTGTTTCTGTGAAGCTTTGGAGACTGTCCTGGAACTAGCTCTTTTAGACCAGGTTGGTCTAGAACTCACAGAGATCCACTTGCCTCTGCCTCCCGAGTGCTGGGCTTAAAGGTGTGCGTCACTATCGCCCGGCTGGAACACACTACTTCTATGCAAGTTCGGTGGTAAAGCTACTGAAGAACCAGCATCCTGGATGAGTAGACCGTGTGGACTGGCACTGGGTTCCTGTTCTCTCACTCTGCCTCACACTCCTGCTCCCTCTGGGGATCTTTGACTTATGCTACTTGATCAAAGATTCATTGCAAAGGGAAGGGCAATGACTTGTCCAAGGTCATAGAAGTGCACATAGCCCCACAGTAAGCGAGCAGCTTCTGGGGCAGAAAGGCTATGCTCTTAGTGGGGACCACTCTATTGCAGGGATGGAGAGAAAGGTCAATGGTGACCCGGTGGCTTTGAAGGCCTCCTTATATACAGACTTTGAAGAATGGGAATGTGAAAGTGCTCTTGGAATGACTTCTGCTCCATGGAGAAGCCACTGGGTAGCCCCAAATCTGAAAATCTAGATGAGCCTGAGTCAAAACCTGCCGGCATCCGCTCCCATTGCCACCCACAACAAAACAAAAGTAGGAAAAACGAAACACCCTCTTAACACCTTAAGAATTGATCACGCTGGGTCTTGTAATTAAAAAAAAAAAAGCGGTGTGTGAGAGAAAGACGCCATGAGACAGAGTTCACGTGGAGGGGTTTTTATCAGGGGAAAGGGAACGTAAAAAGAGGGAAGGGGAGCGGGGTGGGGACCGGTCTCTGGGGACAGGAGCAGCAGAAGAGCCGAAAGAGGCAGAGAGAGAAGGGGAGAGACAGAATGAGGGAGATGGGAGGTGGGCAGGGCTCTTTCAAAAGGGAGCGTAGTGAATGTGAGCAGGAGGTGCTCTTAGTGGCTACAGCTGAGGACATATCCTGTCAGGGCAGGATGCATCCAAGGGCAGGCCAGTACAGATGCCGGAATGCTAACACTGGGGATGCTGCTTTTTTGCCTAACATGCCTGAGGCCCTGGTTCCTGCCCCAGCATCACAGAGGCAGGATTGGTCCTAATCTTTCAGGAGTGTCTACTGGAAAGGAAGGTTCCCCTACTGTCCACTGCCCTGTGCCAGCCATCAGCACGATGACAGAGGCTTGGCTGATTGCCTGCCCTTTGCCTTGTTTAACCACTACCAGCAACACCCTTCGAGGTCGAGATCATTCCTGATGATTCTATCTCCTGTCTCTACTCTACAGACTTGGAGACAGGTTTGCGGAAGGGAGGTAACTTTCCCTAGGTCACACAGATAGGAAGAAACAATACAGGACTCAAGGCAAATGGTGTAGAACTTCAGCCCTGTCTTGGCTATTGAACTACATTTTTTAAAGTAAATTTGAGGGGCTGGAGAGATGGCTCAGTGATTAAGAACCCTGACTGCTCTTCCAGAGGACCTGGGTTCAATTCCCAACACCCGCATGAAGCGAACAGCTGTCTGTAACTCCAAGATCTGACATCCTTACACAGACATAAATGCACTTAAGATAAAAATTAATGAATTAGCTAAAAATAAATTTGAAACTATATTATTTAGTGTGTGTGTGTGTGTGTGTGTGTGTGTGTGTGTGTGCGTTAGCAAGTGTGAAAACATGCGTTGGTGCTGATGTAGAAGTCAGAGGACAACTTACAAGGGTCAGTATTTCCCTTCAAGTCGTTGAGTCTCTGTGGTTGATCTCAGATCATCAGACTTAGCAACAGGTGCCTTTTCCCACTAAGTCATCTCTCTGGTCTGGGATTATTACACTTCTGTTGGACACAGGACAAGGAACCCAGTGCTGGACATGTCAAAACTCTGACACAAATTCTTATCACTCTGTGTGTTGCGGCTAGGATAACCTTTTGGAGGTAGATTCAGTTGAATCAAGACAAACCCCTGCTCATACAAATCCACTGCTACCTTACTTCGATTAGAGGCATGACCAACATGCTTAAGAAGGCCCTTGGAGTCTGGGCCAGACTGAGCCTTTGCCTCCTCAGCCCTTACTCTTCATCCTTCTGCCTTCTTGCTCCTTTTTGAACTGTGCCAAATTTATTCCCTCTCCTAATTAAACTCCCCTTTCCTGGGTGCTCAGCCTGCTACCACCCCCAGGAAGCCTGTGGCTCCCCTTTCCAGGTTAGTTTCTGTTGGATGCCCCCGTCCTTCCTAGTCCTCAGCTCACTTTGTTACTGTACTGTTGCTAGTTTGTGTGGCCAATGCCTGTCCCTCTCACCTGACAGTGAACTCCCTGATCTTTACAGCATCTCTCTTACCTTATCTCCTTGCCTGACTCATTCCCATGGTACAGCAGGCAAACTGGAACCTTCCTTGCTCTACAGCTTCATGATAGAAATCACGAACTGATTCTTAGCATGGCCAACTCTGAGGGACAATCACAAATTCCAGGTTTGGATTCCAGGTGGGCTTGAATGGTTAACAACAACATTTAACACTCATGTGAACCCAGTCATTTGCAAAAAGCCACTTCTGCCTTACCACTTTCTGGCCTATGTAGTGAGAGCAGAGAATAGTATCCTCATTTCTAAGGTTAAAAATGCAGAGGCTCTACCTGAGCCTCTACTCAAAGTCACCCAGTTAAGGGATGTGGAACCCCGATGTGGATCCTGGGGGGTTCTGATGTCTCCCTTCTCTTCTCACCTACCAATATGGATCCTGGAGGTTCTGATGTCTCCTTTCTCTTCTCATCTACCGATATGGATTCTGGGGATTCTGTATCTCTTTTCTCATCTACTGGTGTGGATCCTGGGGGGTTCTGATGTCTCCCTTCTCTTCTCATTTACCTTTGACTCAATACTCTGCTCTATTCTCACAGCTCTGGGGCCAAATGTAGACTCCAATAAAAGAGAGAATCATTATTTCCTTCCTCCATCTTAGCAATGACCTTTGCTCCCTTACCTCCTAATCAAAAGGGAGTGTCAAGCTGCACCCACCTGCGGAGGAGGGTGTAAGAGCAAACTGACCAGGGCTCCCATGTCAGTCCCCTGGGAATAGGACTCCATCTGACTCTGGGTTGTAATGTCCAGCCCAGTGTTGTTTTCTGGTTTCACTCCTGTGCCCAAATCTTACAGGTAGCTCATATGCTGTTCCATGCAGTCAACTGAGTCCCTTGCCTAGCTGCGACATACGACTTGGCCATTGAAAGCTCAAAGCCAGTTTTTAGACTTCAGGACCTCTGAGGCTGGTCTACGCACGTATGTTTGTTTTATGTATTAGTCTTTGTGAGAAGCAGGAAAGGGGCAAGTCTAAGGGAAGCCGGCTCTGTCCCACCTGTCAGGTGCAGGAAGGAAGCGAGAGAGAAAGGCCATTCTGGATGGTTCTGCTCTGCTTGCTCCCACACAGCCCAGCTCACACCCCCTCAGGCACACAAGGCCAATAGCAGCTGCTGGGGGACTTTCCATACTTTCTTCAAGCTAGAGCCAGCCCCTGACCCCTCTGTACAATGGGGAGTCAAGACGGACTCTTTTCTCCCATGTTCTATACTGAAGGGATAAAGGTCTTGTGTGTGTGTGTGTGTGTGTGTGTGTGTGTGTGTGTGTGTGTGTGTGTGAAGTGGAATCATTAGGGCCTGTTAGAAGGAGGAACATAGAGAAAATGATCCCTAAAGAGAAAGCATCCATTCCACGTTGTCCTGGCTTGCCCATCACAACATTAACGTGAGACTAGACATACAGAATTCTCAGCTGAGGCTCAGTCATCCACCCACCTGCCCATGCCGTCCTGGCCTGTTCCTGCCTGTCTGAGCCTCCTTCACCCCCTTGCTAGGCAGGTCTTGTGTGCACTCACCTTGTCCCAGCAGAGCATTCAGTGTAGGGGGGCTTCATGTCCAGGTGGCTCCAGGTTCCTAGCTGCATACGCCACCTGCATCTCTCTTGTCTGTGGCCACACTAGAAGTCCAGCTTCTCAAGAGGCACCTCAACATTGAAGGAATACCAGGCAAGCCAGAACAGTAGGCTCAGGGCCAGGATCAGAGCCCCTGTGTAGACCAAGAAGTCCCAGTAATTCAGTGTGGCGAAGATCCCCACCAGCAAAAGCACCAGGCCCACAGCGTCGCTCAAAAGAGCCACAATGAGGAAAAATACACAGCGCCCGAGATGGCATCTTGTACAAGGTCTGCCCAGGAGCATTGCCCAGGAGCAGCGGGAGGAGTCCAGCTGCGCTCCTGGGGGTGATTTGCATGGGAGGTGGCAGTCCTGTGTTGTCTCTCCCTCTGGGTGTGAGCAAATGCATGAGCTGGTGCGTCTTGGAACAAGGAGGAAGTCCACGTGGGTCCACCTTTATGAGCCTGGCAGCCAGTGGGGCAGGATATTTCTTAACTGTTTCACGGTTCAGGAATGATCCCAGCCCAAACAATATGACATCGCCGCTGATTGGACTGGCCCTTGCTGGGATCAGCAAGACTACATGGCTGAGAAGTGAACCTCCGCTGGATTTGCAGTCAGAGGTCCTGTGACCCTGGAAGAGGATGCCGCTCTTGTTCTCTGATGTGAGAGTCAGCCAGCCTGAAGGCCCCGAATTCCTGAGAATGGAGTCCACACCTACTGTGAGAGTGCAGGGCTTGCCTTCTCCCGTGATTTCCGCCCTCCTCTTCCTGGTAGGAAAAGGAGGGATTTAAAAATTAATCACATTTGTTCTTTGTTCATTTGTGAGTTTTTTGTTCTGTTTTACTTGCTTTTTTTCTTTATTTTTTTATTTTTTAGTTTTTTGAGACAGGGTTTCTCTGGGTAGCCTTGGTTGTCCTGGAACTTACTCTGTAGACCAGGTTGGGCTAGAACTCCACAGAGATCCTCTTGCTTCTGCTTCCTGAGTACTGGGATTAAAGGCGTGTGTCACCACTGCCTGGCTCCTATGTATTTATAATAAATTCTAAATTATTGAATACCCTGTACCCTGTTATCTCTCTCACTCCTGTCGCCCCTTCCCCAGATGGATAAGAGCCGGTTGACACCTGTAGATTTGGAAATGGTGCTGTAAGGGTTGCTTGTTCAACACTAGCCAGTATTGTGTTTGCCTTTTGAATTCTCTACTCGATTTCTGAAGGGTGTAAGTTCCTTAAAATGATGGACAGGAGAGATAAGAGCAGATGGGGAGGTGGAGAGACGGAGAAAGGATAGGGTGAGACGGTTCTCTTCCTTCTGTCGGCACTGTATTCAGTATGAGCCAATGACACCAAGCACGAGCCCAAAGGTCTTTGCCCGCTCCAGTGACTGTTTCCCACACCAACTAGTTCTTTACTTGTTTAATATCTCATGGTGGATGATGCCAATCTGCCCATACAGATTTTTTTTTTATCATGGTGGTTACTTACAAGATGAACAAACTGAAGATCACATGAGAGAAATGCATAGCCCAGTCCCCTCAGCAGAGTCACACAGGTGAGCATGGCTCTGTCCCCATTCAGGGGGAAGCCTCAGATGAGGAACTGACTCTTTCCAAGCTTCGGTTTTCCCACACAGACGAAGTAAATAGTTTCTATTCCCCATTTTCCACAAAGAATGAGAATAAAGAGAAGGTTCTCATTTAGTTCACGTCGTTTTCTATGTGTAAAATAAGCTTTGAAGGGAGAGAAACTTGCAGGAAACTGTTGGGGAAGGAGAGTGGAGGCACAACACAAGCCAGAGATTTCAGGATCCAAAGCACCTTAAGATTTGATTCAAGGGGGCTGGAGAGATGACTCAGAGGTTAAGAGCACTTCCTGCTCTTCCAAAGGTCCTGAGTTCAATTCTCAGCAGCCGCATGGTGGCTCATGACCATCTGTAATGAGATCTGGCGCCCTCTTCTGGCCTGCAGCCATACATGAAGGCAGAACACTGTATAACACATAATAAATAAATTGTAAAAATAAAAATATTTGATCTAAGCCACGTAGCCAAATTGAAGCATCCCAAAGACAGAAGTACCTGGAGTAAGCCTCTGGACCAGTATTGCATTCCTTTTATTATACCCTCAGGGACGGCTCACCCATGTGGGATGCCTCCTTGCTGGGGAAGCCAGGGCTCTTCCATTTGTCACACAAAGAGTGATGGCAAGTAGACTCCTCTGCTGTGGCTGTGGCTGTGCGTGGCATGGCTGACGCCTTCTGGCCAATCTAGCTGTATACAGGTTCTTTCTCTCTCTCTCCCTCCCTCTCTCTCTTTCTCTCTCTGTATGTGTGTGGGGGCGGCTGGCTAGGTAGGGCGAATAATTCTACATGTAGTGCTAAAATTTCTACATGTTAGGAAATCCCTTGGTCTTGGTCGAGCAAGACGGTTGGACAATGACCTGTTACCTAGCATGCCATGTCACAGGAAGTTGGTAACAGGAAAGCTGGTCCATGCTGCCCTGTTTTCTGGCCAGCTTTGTTCAGTGCCATCTCCACAGCAGCGGTAGAACTACAGATGTCCCTCAGTATCCATGGTCATGAGTTCTAGAACCATGGAAGGTGCTACGATCTGGGGAAAGCTCAAGTCCCTTGTACAAATAGGCTCAATGTTTTTTTTTATGGCATCTGCATGCATCCTATACTTGGGAGGTTCTCAATCTTCCCATTGCTGCTGCCATTAAATGTAGTTCCTTAAGTGTGGGGTCCCCAGCCATAAAATTATTTTCATTGCTACTTCATAACTGTAACTTTGCTACTACTAAGAATCGTAATACAAATACCTGTATTTTCTGAGGGTGAACCCTGTGAAGGGATCATTTAACTCTACCCCCAAAAGGGGTTGTGACCCACAGGTTGAGAATCACTGCTTTAAACCATCTCTAGATTACTTCTAATACCCAATGCATTATCTACGTCATGGATATGCTTGTAATATTGTATTCTCTAGGGGATGATGACAAGAATAAAAGTCTGGTGGAGAGAATTCCAGGACAGCCAGGGCTACACAGAGACATCCTGTCTAAAAAGAAAAAAAAAAAAGAAATCTGTATCTACACTAACTTGAAAAAAATTTCAAAATATTTTTATTCTGAGGTTAATTGAGTCTACATATGTAGACTCCTCAATCACAGAGAAGATTTATCAGTTACAGAGAGCTCGGAGTGCCATTTTCTGTTTCTGTTTATCTCCTTCTCTCTGTCTCTCTGTCTTACACACACACACACACACACACACACTCACACACACACACATACACACTCTTCATTTCTAGTTGAAAACTATGACATATTTAAAAACAAAAAGAGCAGACTTGAAGCCACAGACGGTCTGGGAATGCAGAAACCAGTAGCATCAGTTTGTGGGTAATCACCCTGATGATTCAGAGCTCTCTCTTTCCTTACTCCCAAGAGTGGGTCACATTGTCTTCCTGGTTCTGCAGCTTGACATTCTCTCCTCACGGCCACAGCCACATTGCACATGACAAACTGTAGGCACCAGGAGACTGACCAAACCACAAGCCGCCCCTCTGCTCTTCCTGGTGGCTTCTTTGATCCTGTTCCCTGATGTGGCCTCTCCTGTGTGTTAAGTCAGTGTAGGTATTTGCACAGCTGGGAGAGACCGATGGGATACTTGATAAAAAGCTGGGTGACTGAGGGCTGGGGAGACGGGCAGGTTGGAAAGAGGAGGCAGAAGTCAAGACCAGGCAGACAGAGAAGCGTGAAGGAATGGAAAATACTCGGGGTTCCCACCCTGGATCTGGGACAACTCATCAGCAAGAAAAGCTCACCTGACCCAACCAAGAACAGCTGGCGGCCCCCTGTGTTAGCAGACACTCACCTCTCTGCACCCCTGAGATGAAATTCATCGGGTCACTCACCAGCACGACACCCTCCGCTGCTGCTTCAAAAAGTAAGCCCAATACAGTGGCCTAAATGACAGTCGCGTGTTGTTTCCCAGCTTGTTGACTGAAAGTCTGTGAATAGCATTGTCAGGGATGGCTCCAAGGAGAAGGCGTTCCTTCCTCTCATGGCTTCTGCTGGTCGGTAGCCTCTCCGCGGTTCCTGGGAGGAGGCATCGTGCTGACCTCTGCTTTCGTCTTCCTGTTGTTCCTGTGCATGTGACTCTGTGGACTGGGGACCACTCAATTGGAGTTAAATCCCGTCTTTATTAATTGTGTCTCCAAGGGTTGCACTTCCAAATGTGATCATGTTGTAAGGTTCTGGGGTTTAGGACTTCATTGTATGAAGCTGGCAGACATAATTCAATTCACAGCCTAGAAAAACAGCCAGAAGATCTGTTTGGAGAGCCTCTCATGTCAAACAGTGGTTTAGCCAGAATGGCCAAGCCTCCAAACCCATTCCTCAGAGACACGGATAATTGTAAAATGTTAGTACCCCATCCAAGGTGGTCTACCATATATATCACCATGCGCCAGGAGGAAAGTGCCCGTCCCAAGGATGCTGAGAACCAATTTGTTGTCCTGGCTTCACTGAAAGAAAAGCTAAAAAGGCAGGCCTCCCCTTGCCTGGGTTCAGGCTGGACATTCTTTCCATCGCCAAGCCAAAGGGCTCATAGACCATGAGTAGATAACCCCAAATGACCCCCAGAATGTACAGCCTTGAGATGTATCACATTTTTCCAGGTATTGTGGGGCACACATATATTCCAGCTCTCAGGAGGTTTAGGCAGGAGGATAGTACATTCAAATTCACTCTGGCTAAATAATGAGATCCCCACCTCAGAAAGTTAAAGACAAAAATATGCTTAAAATTAAAAACAAAATCTACGCATATTATTATTAAAAATACTACTGATCACTCGTTAAGTGTGGAGGATCAAATGCAGATCTTAGGCCACAGTTAATACACGTTAGCTAATATTTAAGAAGAACATGAATTGGTAATCTCAAATGACTGGTAAATACAATGGGATAAACTCAAAACCAGGGAAGTGATAGTGTGGGTACTTGGTACACTAGATGGCAGGTTTGCTTTCTGTGCCATGAGCTCAGCGTTTACAGCAGGCATGGCTAGTACCCAGTCCCTAGCCTAGCCTCCAGGCTTGCTCATCTAAAGTCTCTGTCTCCGGTTTCTTAGGTTTCCAAGGCTTTAGTCACCCCGTGGTTCAGAGGGGTTTGTCTTCTTGCTCTTGCCTCAGAGCTCTGCCTCTTCTCAGCAAAGGAGACTTTTGTCCTTTGACAAAGCCACCATTACCTGACATCACCCTATGATGTCACAGAACGACTGCTTCTCCATGACCTTAGATCCTAATTGCCAATTGTGGTTGAGGCAGGGATGGGCCAGCCATGCGCTCAGCTGATCCTGCATCACAGTTTCCTGATCTGACTCTGTGAATGACCAAGTCCCAGTCACCTCCTGGGTGGGGCTGGCCCTGCTGTCCTGTTCATCAGGTATCCCTG